GACCCCCCCCCCCCCCCCCAGTTTTCTTTAAAAAACCTGGAAACCTTTGGGATTCCGAAATATACCCGAAAAATACCTCGGTATATTTTCGGCTCGGGTAGATCCAAACGCACACCCCTACTAGAGGACATCTCATCAGATACACAAAGTGAATCTTCAGGCAGCTTCAGGTGGTCAGCCGTGTTGGTCTGAAGCAGCGGAGCAAAGTTTGAGTCCCGTGGGGCACTTTTAAGACCAACAGAGTTTTATTCTGGGTATAAGGTTTCGTGTTCACGCACACTTCTTCTGAAGGTGCCACCGGACTCAAAGTTTGCTCATCAGGCAGTGTATTATACAAGAAACATGTATACACATGGATAAAGACGTGGAAAAATTGGGAATAGTGTGTTTAAGTCCACCAATGTGTAACATTTCTGTACAAAATTTAAAACTGTACAAAACAAGCACACTGGTTGTTCTTAACAGCTGTGGACATATACCCATCCACCCATCTCTCTCTGCTCACTCAGGATTTAGCTCATGCATCTGATGAAGTGGAACCTAGCCTACACAAGCCCCGCCTACCCCCTCAATAAACCTATTAGTCTCAGGCCTGTGGCTTGTGGGGCAAATCTGTTCCCGGTGGGGCTGAAGTTCTCAGTGCAGAAAGAAAAGCCATTTAGCCAATAGAAAGCTGTTACCAGAACAGATCTCTAAACTGCAAACTGTCAACCACTTTAGATGACAGTTCTCAGCTGCTGCAAGTTAATAACTTCTGCCAGCCTAATCAACAATTCTGATAACAAGCCGGCAGATGGGGGTGATGACTTCTAGAGTCAAGAAAGCTAACACTTAGGCAGAAAAGCTCTCTTAAAGTAGACCGGTTTCTTGACACCGAGTTAGAAGGGATCCTAGAGGTCACCTACTCCAACCCCCTTGCTCAGTGCGGGAATCAGTCAACTACAGCACCCCATTCTGCTTAAAGGAGCTCACACCTTTAAAATAATATTTAGAAATGACTGCAAAAAGCATTTACAGGAGAAATTCTTGTGGGGCTGTGCCTTTAAGACAGGGGGCATGGCCCCAGAAGCCCCACCACAGCCACCGGCCTGATTAGTCTGATCACAGCAGTTCTCTCCCCGCCCCATTAGCACAAGCCACTTTGAGCACAGGCTAGAAAAGCAGGCTACCAGTATTTAAAAATAAACAAATTGCATGCTCCGGTGGGTACGTTTGCCTTCTTTAGGAAAGTTCTTTGTTTGCCTTCTGGAGTAAATAAACATACACGCAGAGCGACTACTTCCATTTGGCACTTACCAGACATTCCACAACAGGTTCACGGCCTCGTTGGCTATGTCTTCAGTGTAATTCTTGTTTGTCTCTTTGGTCTCCTTCACAGACTCGTTGCTCTCCTCCAGCCCTGCCTGGCACTACAGTGATGAAGGCAGTCCAAATAACATAAGATAAAAATAAGTTGAAGCACGCTTTGCAGTCATTGGAGGAGACGGATTGGTAGGTTCCAGGACAATCGTCGAGCTAACTGTGGAGGGAAGCACGCCCTCCTTCCTAGCACATGAAAGGCATTGTGGTGTAGCAGATATAGAGTTTCATACTAGAATCGGGGAGGTAAAAGGTAAAAGGTAAAGGTTCCCGACCCTAGGGTTGCGGTGCTCATCTCCGTTGCAAAGCCAAAGAGCCAGCGCTGTCCGAAGATGTTTCCGTGGTCATGTGGCCGGCATGACTAAACACCAAGGCGCACGGAACGCTGTTACCTTCCCACCGAAGTGGTACCTATTTATCTACTTGCAATTTCTTGCTTTCGAACTGCTAGGTTGGCAGGAGCTGGAACTAGAGACGGGAGCTCACTCCGTCATGCAGCACCCGGGTCTCGAACTGCTGAACTACCGATCTTCCACAGCCTGCAGTTCAGCATCTTAACCAGTTGAGTCACCGCAGCTCCTAGAATCGGGGAGACCCAGATTCAAATCCCCATTCTGCCCTGGCAGCTTGTTGAATGTGCACTTTGGGCCAGTCTTCCACTTGGGCCAATTTGGTTAAGGAGGAGGAGGAGACTGGATTTATACCCCGCCCTTCACTTGGCGGCTCAGAGTGGCTTACAAACGCCTTTCCCTTCCCCTCCCCACAACAGACACCCTGTGAGGTAGGTGGGGCTGAGAGGGCTCTTTCCAGAACAGCTCTGACAGAACTATGGCTTGCCCAAGGTCATCCAGCAGCTGCAAGTGGAGGAGTGGGGAATCAAACCCGGTTCTCCCAGATTAGAGTCCACGCACTTCACCACTACAACAAACTGACTCTCAGAGTGAGGACTCTAATCTGGGAGAACCGGGTTTGATTCCCCACTCCTCCACAGGCAGCTGCTGGCGTGACCTTGGGTCAGTCATAAGTTCTTTCAGAGTTGTTCTCTCAAGGGCAGTCCTTGAGATAGCTCTCTCAGCCCCACCTACCTCACAGGGTGTCTGTTGTGGGGAGGGGAAGGGAAAGGAGATTGTAAGCCGCTCTGAGACTCTGGGTAGTGAAGGGTGGGGTATAAATTCAATCTCCTCCTCCTCTCCTCTCCACCTAGCCACCTCACAGGGGTGTTGTGAGGATATAACAAAGAACAATGTAAGTCACTTTAGGTCCCCATTGAAGAAACAAGTGGGATATAGATGAAATGTACCACTCTGGATATCCCCAAAACACCCACAAGTCTGGGGACGACTGGGTTCAACAAATCAACGCTCTGCCTCAGGGGGTAAGGAAGATTCATTATGCCTGCTGTTGGGCTGTAGAGGAAAGTGATACTGTTATTCGAACTCTCTGTTTCCTCTTAACTGCCTTTAGGGAGACGCTTTACTTACGTCATTTATACTCCACCTTTAACCCCACAACAAACACACCTGGAGTATCAGGCCGCACCTGGAGTACTGCGTGCAGTTCTGGTGGCCTCACCTCAGAAAGGCCGAGGGACTTGGGAACGCTCAGTCTGGAGAAGAAGGAGGTTGAGGGGGGACATGATGGCTCTCTGGAAGTATTTGAAGGGCTGTCACTCAGAGGAGGGCAGGGAGCTGTTCCTGTGGGCAGCCGAGGAGAGGACTGGCAATCATGGGTTTAAATTAAGGGCGGGAAGGTACCGGCTGGATATCAGGAAAGAAAATTTGGCAGTGAGAGTTGTGCAGCAGTGGAATCAGCTGCCTAGGGAGGTGGTGAGCTCCCCCTCACTGGCAGTCTTTAAGCAGCGGCTGGACAAACACTTGCCAGGGATGCTCTAGGCCGGGGTGTCAAGCATGCGGCCCGGGGGCCGGATCAGGCCCCCGGAGGGCTTCTCTCAGGCCCGCAGTGGAACTGGCTATCTTCTGCTTCTTCTTCCAGTTCTGCTGCTGCTGCACCATCATAGGTTTGCAGCTTACAGATACACACCTGAACAGCATACTCAAGATTGCAACAGCACAGAGATTTTGAGGCAATAATTCAGAGCAAGAGGGGTCAGTTATCGGACGCTGCTAAATAAACAAAATGTTGCAAGAGTGCTCATGTTTTAAGCATGTTTTTATTTTAAGTAAAAAAAAAAGCCCCACCCTTTGTGTTGGTGTCCTTTATGAACTTTATATCTCCGCTACCTGGCATTTCATTTTATGACACACATGGCCCGGCCCAACAAGGTCTCGTTTATGTCAGATCCGGCCCTCATAACAAATGAGTTCGACACCCCTGCTCTAGGCTGATCCTACATTGATCAGGGGGTTCCAACCCTGTGTGATTCTATGATTCTATAACCCTGTAAAGCACCTTAAGCTTACAGCGTGTGACCAGCCCAGGGTCCTTCAGCAGCGAGCTTCCATGGCAGAGTGGGGACTCAAAATCGGGCCTCCCACATTCCTAGTCTGGAATTCCAACCACCACACCATGCTGGCCCCACCCTGACACATCCCGCTTTAATCCAGAAACAAGAGACAAAGACCAGAGCAAGTTCGCGTACCTCCTTCAGAAGGGCTACAAGGGGTGTCATGACGTCTTTCGTCACCATGTCGTCGCAAACGTCAAATCCTCCGCAGGCACTGAGATTGCTGCAAACAAAGCCAAAAGTCTGAAAGCTTATGATCTTATTTTTCCTCATATGGAACAAATCCTCCCACTTATTTATACGTAAAGGTAAAGGTCTCCCTTGCTCAAAAGCCAGTCGAATCCGATTCTAGGGATGCGGCGCTCATCTCCGTTTCCAAGCCAAAGAGCCAGCACTGTCCAGAGACATTTCCATGGTCATGTGGCCGGCACGACTAGACGCTGAGGCGCACGCAATGCTGTTACCTTCCCTCTGAAGCGGTACCTATTTATCTACTTGCAATCTCTTGCTTTCAAACTGCTAGGTTGGCAGGATCTGGGACCAGAGATGGGAGCTCACTCCGTCTTGCGGCACTTGGGTCTCGAACTGCTGAGCTACCGACCTTCCACAGTCTGCAGTTCAGCGTCTTAACCGCTTGAGCCACCAAAGCCCGTACATTTCAACAAAAGTTGGGGAAGGGGAGTCGTGGCAGACTGAGAAGTAGATCCAAGTTGCCCACCGCTCATCCCTGGGTGTGGTAGTGAGACTGTGCAACCATAAAAATATGTCATACGGTCAATTCCCACTGATGGACTTCCAGCTTCCCACTTTCTTCTTCCCCCAAACAGCCCTTCCCCTAAAGCAGAGAGCCACCCCTGGCTTCCTTCTACTTCACTGGAGTAGGAGGACCTTCAGAAGACCCTGAAAGCATCACCTTTGTGAACAGAGGACTTGAAAACAGAGCAAGGCTTGGCTCTCTCAGGTTTCTGTGACCGGTGGCAGCACCCATTTTGCTGTGGCGGCCACAACCTGTTGTCGCAATTCCAAAGGTGCCCACAGGCTCGACAAAATCAGGGCGCCCCTGAAATGACGTAAAGGAGTTATGGGGAGGGGAGAGAACACATTATCCCCCAAATCGGAAACAATGCCACGCATATTGCTTGTGGCTAAGGAGCTGCCGTGGCTCAAGTGGTAAGACACTGAACTGCAGGCTGTGGAAGGGCAGTAGTTCAGCAGTTCGAGACCCGAGTGTGCCGCATGACGGAGTGAGCTCCCGTCTCTAGTTCCAGCTCCTGCCAACCTAGCAGTTTGAAAGCAAGAAATTGCAAGTAGATAAATAGGTACCACTTCAGTGGGAACGTAACAGCGTTCTGTGCGCCTTGGTGTTTAGTCATGCTGGCCACATGACCACGGGAACGTCTTCGGACAGCGCTGGCTCTTTGGCTTGAAAACGGAGATGAGCACCGCAACCCTAGAGTCAGATTCGACTGGCTTTCGAGCAAGGGAACCTTTACCTTTAAGGGGGCATCACTCCCTCAAAAAAATTTCCCAGGGCAAGTTGTATGTCACCTCCACCTCACCTGTGGTGGCTAAAAGGGTCGTTTCTTCCTGTATTATCCATCCCCCCCTCCACCCTGTTAATATTTGACTCCTGAGCCCTGTTTTCTGTGCCCCTGCCTTCAGAAGTGGCAGGTGCTGACTAAAGACAGGGAATTTTCGGTGGTGGCCCCTTGCCTCTGGAACACCCTCCCCCTTGAGGCTTGCTTGGCACCTACCTTACTTTCTTTTAGGCACCAGGTCACACACATCTGTTCACCCAGGCTTCTAATCAGTGGGTTTATCTCACCAGCTTTTAAACTGTCTGCCTCTGCTTTACGGATAATTTTTAGGCTGCTTACATGCAATGGCTTATTTTTATTTTTTTTGTTTTGCCCTCAAGTTGCAGCCAATTTATGGTGACCCCGTAGGGTTTTCAAGGCAAGTGATGTCCAGTGACGGTTTGCCATTGCCTGCCTCTGTGGGATGAGCCCGGACTTCCTTGTTGGTCTCCCATCCAATGACTAACCAGAGCCAACCCTGCTTTGCTTCCAAGATCTGGTGAGACTGGGCAAGCCTGGGCTATCCAGGAAAGAGATGCTCAGAGGCGGTTTGCCACTGCCCGCCTCTGCAGGGCAACCCTGGACTTCCTTGGCAGTCTCCCACCCAAGTATTACCCAGGGCCAGTGTTCCCTCTAAGCTGAGTTCGTGTGAGCTAGCTCACAGTTTTTTAGCCTCCAGATCACGCATTTTTGTCTTAGCTCAGGAAGGATGGCCCCCAAGCAAACTAACTTATGCAGTAGCCAAATGGCTCGCTCACAACTTTAATGCCAGGAGCTCACAAAGTAGAATTTTTGCTCACAAGACTCCGCAGCTTAGAGGGAACATTGACCAGGGCCGACCCCCCCACACACACTTCGTTTCAGAGATCTGACAACATCAGGCTAGCCTGGGCCATTGAGGTCAAGCCAAAATGAATATTCTAACATTGTTTTAACTGTAACCCACCTTGAGCAGGCCTCAGAAGAGGCAGCATAGAAATATCCTAAATAAACAAACGTTGATAAGTCCATAAGAACATAGGAACATAAGAGATGCCAATGTTGGATCAGGCCAAAGGCCCATCCAGTCCAACACTCTGTATCACACAGTGGCCAGAAATACCAGGTGCCCTCAGGAGGGCCACCACTGGGGCCAGGACACGAGAAGCCCTCCTACTGTTGACCCCCCCCAAGCACCAAGAAGACAGAGCATCACTTGCCCCAGAGCCCCTATCTATACCTTGTGGCTAATACCCACTGATGGACCTCTGCTTCATATGCTTATCTAATTCCCTTTTGAAGCCGTCCATGCTTGCAGCCGCCACCACTTCCTGTGGCAGTGAATTCCAAGTGTTAATCACTCTTTGGGTGAAGAAGCACTTCCTTTTATCCGTTCTAACCCAACCGCTCAGCAATTTCATGGAGTGCCCACCAGTTCTTGTATTGTGAGAAAGGGAGAAAAGTACCTCTTTCTCTACCTGCTCTTTCCCATGCATAATCTTATAAACCTCAATCATGTCACCCCTCAGTCGTCGTTTCTCCAAGCTAAAGAGCCCTAAGCGCCTTAACCTTTCCTCACAGGGAAAGTGTTCTAGCCCTTTTATCATTCGAGTTGCCCTTTTCTGCACCTTTTCCAAAGCTATGATATCCTTTTTAAGGTGTGGTGACCAGAATTCCACACAGTATTCCAAATGAAATGCAATCCATTGGGCAGCAGCCACCAGTTTAGATGCATTTTTAAAAAAGGATTTTACATATTCATGGAGAATGACTCTTTCAATCACTGCCAGCCAAGATGAAGAAGAAGAGGAGACTGGAATGATACCCCGCCCTTCACTACCAGAAGGCGTCAGAGTGGCTCACAATTTCCTTTCCCTTCCTTTCCGCACAACAGACATCCTATGAGGTAGGTGGGGCTGAGAGAGCTCTTCCGAGGACTGCCCTGGAGAGAACAACTCAGAGAACTTGTGGCTGACCCAAGGTCACACCAGCAGCTGCACGTGAAGGAGTGGGGAATCAAACCCGGTTCTCCCAGATTAGAGTTCGCGCTCCGAAACACTACACTCCGAAACGAACTAGCAGAATGGAACCTCCACATTCAGAAGCGGCATCCCTATAAATACGGCACACTGGGGACAAACAGAGGGAAGGCCGTCATCCAGACTGGCTCCTTTGGGAACAGGATGCTGGAGTGTCTGTCTGACCCAGGGGACGCATTCCAGGAGAAAAGCAATGCACAAGAGTCCCCCGAAGCACTGGCACATCCCCAGAGGCTTCTTCAAGCACCCATTCGCCTGTCCCACTGCTCTGGACGAGCTTCAGGACTCACCGAAGAGCTCCCGCGGCCGTCTCTCGAACCGCCAGTCTCTGATCAAGCAGCATGGGCCCCAAACATCGGACAACATCTCTTTGGACAAAAGCCGGGATTGTCTGCTTCTGCTGCAGGACTTTGGAAATGCTGGCACAAGCAAATTCTCTCACATCGGCACTCGGGTGCTGCAGCTATGAAAATATATATAATATATACATGAAGAAGGAAGTTAGAAGCTCACGTGGACACAATCACGCCTCCCCTGTCCCACCCCTGCCGGGCCGAACCATCTAGAGCAGCCAGGGTTGTGTCTTAACCCCGAAACTGAGGCCACGGTTCAGGTTTGTTCGTAGAGCAAGGCTTGCTTCTTCTACTGCGGTTTCCATTCCCCCAGCAAAAGAAACCAATGCCAGTTTGTTAAAACGCAGGCTGGCCCTGAAGTTCCAGAATAAGCCGAAGCGAATTGTTCAGCATTGTAAAACCTTCCTTACCCGAGGCTGTTAGAGGTTGCAGTCATTCATGACAAAGTTCCAATAACTCATTAAAGGTAAAAAAGGTAAAGGTTCCCTTGCTCGAAAGCCAGTCGAGTCTGACTCTAGGGTTGCGGTGCTCATCTCCATTTCAAAGCCGAAGAGCCAGCGCTGTCCGAAGACGTTTCCGTGGTCATGTGGCCGGCATGACTAAACACCAAGGCGCACGGAACGCTGTTACCTTCCCACCGAATTGGTCCCTATTTATCGACTTGCAATTTCTTGCTTTCGATCTGCTAGGTTGGCAGGAGCTGGAACTAGAGACGGGAGCTCACTCCATCATGCGGCACACTCGGGTCTTGAACTGCTGAACTACCGACCTTCCACAGCCTGCAGTTCAGCGTCTTAACCACTTGAAGAAGAGAAGAAGAAGAAGAGATTGGATTTATACCCCGCCCTTCACTTGGAGTCTCAGAGCGGTTTACAAACTCCTTTCCCTTCCCCTCCCCACAACAGACACCCTGGCACTGTTCCCTCTAAGCTGTGGAGTCATGTGAGCAAAAATTCTACTTTGTGAGCTACTGGCATTAAAGTTGTGAGCGAGCCATTTGACTACTGCATTAAATTGGTTTGCTCTGTAGCCATCCTTCCTGAGCTAAAACAAAAATGTGTGAGCCGGAGGCTAAAAAACTGTGAGCTAGCTCACACTAACTCAGCTTAGAGGGAACAGTGCCTGTGAGGTGGGTGGGGCTGAGAGAACTCTGACACAAACTGCTGTTTTTCAAGGACAGCTGTGCCAGAGCTTGTGACTGACCCAAGGTCATATCAGCAGGTGCAAGTGGAGGAGTGGGGAATCAAACCCGGTTCTCCCAGATTAGAGTCCGCACACTTAACCACTACACCACCAATGTATTAGTATACCACCAACGCCCGGGAGGACATCTAGATATGGGCATGGTTTGCCAAAGGCCTAAATACCCTTTTTTCGCAGCATGGGCAAGACTGGGACGCTTGGAGGACCGCCATCTTGGTTTTTAGCTAGTTTTGTTCTAGATAGGCTATAAATTATGATGTAATTTTAATATTTTGTATTGTTTTTAATGTTTTTACTGTTTTATCAATTACATGTTGTTTGCCCCCCTGAGCCTTCGGGGAGGGCGGGATATAAATGTAAATAATAAATAAATAAATAAATACACCAAACTGGCTCTCCGCAGCTCCAATAACTCATTACCGCAGTTCCAATAACTCATTACAAAACGTTATTTTAGACTTTTATTTCATTCTGTCGCAACCCAAACGTCACTGATTGTTTTTAATTTCCCGTTTGTCCTGCGTTGGCGAGCTCAGGCTAGCTTGATCTCATCAGATCTTAGAAGCTAAGCAGGGCTGACCCCGATTAGTATTTGTATAGGAGACCAGCAAGGAAGCCCTGGGTTGCTACGCAGAGGCAGGCAATGGCAAACCACCCTGAACATCTCTTGCCTTGAAAACCCTATGGGGTTGCCACAGCGGCGTAGCCGGAAAACTTTAGTTGGTGGGGCATTGGGAAATCCTGTGGGGCGCTGGGAAATCCTGTCAGTCGGCACCTCTCAGTTCAATCCATACACCCCCCCAATGAACCACTGCCATCGTGAACAGGACTTTTTGTACTTGTAAAGAGTATGCTGAACTGCAGGCTGTGGAAGGTCGGTAGTTCAGCAGTTCAAGACCCGAGTGCCGCATGATGGAGTGAGCTCCCGTCTCTAGTTCCAGCTCCTGCCAACCTAGCAGTTCGAAAGCAAGAAATTGCAAGTAGATAAATAGGTACCACTCCGGTGGGAAGGGAACACTATCTAACCATCTCAGCCTTTGCCGCCCCCTTCTTCTGTTACCTTCAATCTTTCCCAGCATCAGGGTCTTCTCCAGTGAGTGCTCCCTTTTCATGTGGTGGCCAAAGTATTTGAGCTTCAGCTTCAGTCTCTGGCCTTCCAGGGAACAGCCAGGCTTGACTTCTTTTAGGATTGACTGATTTGATCTCCTTGAAGTCCAAGGGTCTTCTCCAGCATCATAATTTGAACTCATCTATTCTTCAGCACTTGGCCTTCCTTATGGTCCAACTCTCGCAGCCATACATGACTACTGGGAATACCACTGCTTGGACCATACGGCCTTTAGTTGGCAGGGTGATGTCTCTACTTTTCATCTCTTATATTATATTATTTATTTATTTATATTTATTATTTATATATAGTATTATTCATATGAGCCTCAGAACCTTTCTGTGAAGAGGTCTGCAATGTAAGACCCTCTAATTATTGAACACTTAAGGAAAGGAGGGGGGGTTGGGCGCCGTTGAACAAGTATCTGATCTGCAATAAACTGATGTCTTTTTAGAAAGTATGTCCTCTTTGTGTGTGTGTGCATCCTCTTTGGAGCTGTTTTTTTTAAACACCATTAAAATGTCCTCTTTTGGAAAGTTTTTGTCTATTCTTTAAAGAGAGAATCTATCCCAAAGTTTGTAATTCTGTAATATTCAAGTTTTATTGTTTGCTCTTCTGTTTGAAATATGTAATACATTTGGTTACATATCGGATTTTACTTGTTCTACATAACAATTCATAACACTTTACAACCCTGATGAATTCATTATTTCTCCCCTACCCCTTTTTTCCTTCTGTATCCCACCCTTTTAAGAGAAAATAATAAAAATTCATTTTACAAAAATGTCCTCTTTGCGGGTTGGGAGGTTAGGAATATTCCTAGTTAGTACCAACTGTCCCAGCTTAGTCAGGCATTTAAAAGGAGACTTGTCCTAGTGATCACTTGTTTGAAGTAGTCCACAACTACCGGTATGTCCTCTTTTTTGCTTTTCAATAAACATCAAGTAGCAGTGTGGTACAGCGGTTAGAGCATCGGAGCAAAACGGGGGGGGGGGGTTGCTGCTGTTGTTGGGAGACACATCCAACTCCTACTCGATTACTTTGGACTACTCAGTCCCCCCCCCCCCGGCCCCCCCCACCCTAACCCCCCCCCAAGGGCCGTT